AGCCGCAAAATTGAAGGAAATTCAAAGCTCATTTTGGTTCTTGACTCATTAATTCACATAGATTTGTCAAACAACAAAATGACTGTTTGTTTGTTTGTTTTCATTTGATGTTCTACGCCTATGTTTGGTTTGGTTTCAAATTCTTGAACCTCTTCACTCAACAACTTCAGCGGACAAGTGGGTCCAAACATTTGGAAAGTTTGCTTTTCTTCATGGTAATTTCAATTAACACTTCACATACACAAGTCACCTAAAATCAGGTGAATGAAAGGTTATAGAAAACCAATGAAAACAGGCAAAAGCAAAGAAGTGAAAAGCAACCTACTCTGGAAACCTCCAGCGAACCCCGCAACACACCCCATGTGTTTGGTACAGGTTGGTTGCTTGGTTTTCAAAGGGGGGGGGGGGGGGGGGGGGGGGTGGGAAACCAGTAGACGAAAAAAATAGATATGAAAATTTCATATCTAGGTTTCCAGTGGCAAAAAGGAGGAAGAACCAAAAAAATAGGGAGGAAGAAGAAAGAAGAGGTGGTGAGCTATGTAAAACCAGTAAATAAATAAAATAAAATAAAAAAGTGAGAATAAAGAGAAGCAGAAGTAGAGACAAGCAATCAACTCTGGCGACCAATGGCAAATCTTGCAACACCTTCTTATAACAACCCCCAGCGGCGACACTTCTCCACCCACCAGCACACAAAAAAAAAAAAAAAACCAAAATGATATCGTTTAGTAAGAACCGATCTCAACCTTCCAATCCTTTCATTTTTCACGTCGCAAACTCTCAATAAAACACCCAGATTGCACTACAGGAAAGTACTATAGAGGATCCTTGCTCGGGGTGAATAGGATATCTAATTAAAAATTATCAATTTTATGTTCAATTTTAGTTGATTAAAAGAAGGATCCTGCCAATTCCTAGCAACATAAGGTAACCTATTTATCTCAAAATTAAGGTTTCTAGATTGGTTTGTTATTGCCCCTATATGACGAATAAACCCGACACTCCCTCTATTTAACTGACCTGTAAGAAGGATTTATAGTAGATCTATTCTAGTTCAACCTATAACAATTAGAACGGATGTGACCCTTAATATCACAATGGTGACATACATGAACAAATTTGACAGTATTTTTCACTTACTTCTTAAGTTCAGACTTAGGAGGTTCTGGAGGATGACTATAAGAGGTATTAAGCCCATCATTTGAGATTTTGACAAACTTGGTTTCCTTTACCTTTTTCCCATTAAATTCTAAGCTAGTTTTATCAGATTGTGCTATCATAGTCTTTTCGATGAAAATCTGGTTGTATCCAAATCTAACTCAAGGTTTGCAACCCTAGACTCTGAACTAACCAATTTTTCTCGCAAGTTATCATCTCCTTATCTAACTCAATAATTTTATCTTCCATTACTGTTATATGAGTTTTAAAACTAAGGATTTTAGTAATTTTTTCAACAATATCAACTTTACGAATTTCTACTTCTTTTTCAAGAGTTTTAAATTTAGGATTCAAATTGAACTTACTCCTTCTTAATTTCACAAATTCATCATACAACTATTCATAAGTTTCTTGGATAGTCTCACCAGACTATTCCGATTCAGACTCCATAACAATGGAATATTATGAACTCTAGCAGTTAAACTAAGTCAATGACCTTATTCTGAAACAACTTGAAATTACAGAGTCTGAATATTATGTGCCTAGAGGGAGATAACTAAATAGGCTATCAATTAAAAAATTAGTAATTTTATTTTTAATTTAGTTGATTAAACAGATTAACACATGAATAACAATCAATAATTGAACACATGATTTTACGTGAAAAACCTAAAAGGGTAAAAAACTACGGTCCCAACACTCAATAAAATCTATTAGAAGATCCAATAATACAAATACAAAATCAAGAAGACTTACGACCTTCACTTAAATTTACCTAACCCGATGTTTTGTAGTAACTATATGAGCACAGCATGAGCTAGTCAACCTTCTTGATCTTCAAGACACCACGAAGCTTCAACTTCAATCTCCATTCTTGAACGGCTCTGATTACACAACCAACCTTAAGTGTAGAACGGAAAATGCAAAGATATTCAGAAGCTTTGAGGGTTTTTGAAAAACTATCTTAGAAAAATTCTCCCATAAATATGAGAATTGAAGCTCAGAATTATTCTAGAGAACTCACAAGTTTTTGGATGTGTAATATATTTGGGAGTGAAACAAGTTTTTTTTTATTAGCAAAAAGAAAGATTTATTGGTGACAACACATACATAACATATGCAAATACATCAATAAAAGAGGGGAAGAACACAAAGCATCATAGCAAACTACCCAATCCCAACTAGGTTGGCACCAAGCAGAGAGCCCAATCATCTGCAAGCTCGACCCCAAGGGTTGGTGAGAAACCAAACCCAACAAGAAAAACCCGCCAATGAATCAACACCCCACTCTACCATCTTTTGGAATCAACCAAAACCAAGCACCCCTTTGACCTGTGAGACTCCACCCAACAACCATCAAACAGAACACACAAGCAGAAGAAGCAGCAAGATAACTAGAAAGATTTGCAGCAACTACCCAATCTGAGCATATCAATCTAGCTTCAACTAATAAGATTTGCAGCAGAAAACACCCACACAGCAAATTCACCGACAGCACGGCACAGGATAGCCCATCACAGCAGCAGCCATGCTCAGAACACCCTCAGACTAGGTGCAAGCTCAACAAGCAGAATATCAGATCGGACCAGCAGTAACAGCATCAACTCCATATCTGCAACCAATACTGCAAACTGCAACATGCAACTAACACTGAACAACCTACACCCGCAGCAGTAGAGCCAGCTCATCAGCAAAGAACCTGCAACCAATACTCCCCCATGCCAGAATGAATTCATGAAAATCCTAGACAACACCTGACTTGTGGAAAATTAAACACGACATCATTGACTGAAAAAGAAGCATCCCTGAACTGAGATCTCATCCAAATTGCTAACCTGACCTTGATACATTCACACAAAACCTGAAAATTGGGCTGGACTGCCTTAAACACACACTCATTTCTATAACTCCACACAGACCACAACACTGCTGCTGGAAGGGCCTTCCACACCAAATTAACTTTCTTCCTAAACTTCCAACCCATCCACCAAAGTAAAAGACCATCTATGGATCTGGGAATACCCCACCAATCAGCAATAGCAAACCAAATTTTCCAAACAAAAGGAAGACTGAAAACTAAAGAGTTGCTACAAAGGTTTGGAATTCTAAAGAGTGAAACAAGTCATGGAAGCCTCAATCTAGAAAAACAGTTTTCCAAAACCTTTTCAAGATAGGTTTTATATTCTTTTTAAAACTCCTTTTGTGAAACATCTTTTCCAATCCAACTGAAACACAAATCCAATTTTGCAATAGGTTTTTGTTATTATTTTTAAACTCTATTTGTGACAAAGCTTTCCAAAGCTGGATTGCTTATGTGATAGGATAATTAAGTAGGACACTTTTTTCAAAATATCTTCACACTTTTAAAATATTCTATCACTCCAAAATAATTAAATTCGTCACCAAAAATAACCAACCAAATGTATTCTATAACAAAATGAAATTCACTGGGGTTTTCTACGACAATATTTTAGCAACGAAACTGGGGATGAAATTATTTCATGGCCAATATCTTTAGAGTAGAAACCATTCTTTTAGACACAATTTTTTTTTTTTTTTTTGGGTCCTTTGAAGACCCAATTTGTTATAGTGTAGTTATATTGTCAAAATACAAATGCTAATAATAGTTTTTCTTAGCAACAAAAATAAATAAAATGTATATAATTAAAAATTATAATAATAAGATAATAATAGGTGAAATTTTGTGCAATACTAATCAATTAGATTATATAAATAATTTTTGGTTTTTATCAGAAGGGAATGATGGGAGTTGGGTTTGGTGTGTTTTATTACAAAAATAGACTGAAATGGAAGTTGAAAAATATAAATATTTGAGTATTGAACATACTTTATTAATTTTTTAATTCAAGGGTATTTTAGTAACTTAACTCGTAAACATAACATAATACGAGCCAAGTTAATTGGAGGGATGAATGTTTTTAATAGTTTCGAAAGTAAGAGAAGTCTGTATAATTATTGAAATTACAAGAGAGGTACCTGAAACCGTAGGACAGTTTAATTTAATTTACCCTAAGTTTTAAAACATTCTTTTACTATTTTAGAATTTAGGATTAATTACATCAAGACCCCTTTAACTCGTAGTAAATATCACATTACCTCCCTTATATATGAACATGTACATATTGACCTTTCAACTATAAAACAGAACAAATACACCCATATGTAGTTCGGAAGGGGTGAATGTGATACATTTTTATATTTAAAATGGTCAAATATGTGGGTTCATAGACAAGGAGGGCAAGCTGATATTCATTAATAGTTTTTGTTTTTTTTCTTTTAGATTTGATATTCATTAATAGTTGAGTGTTCTTAATGGAATTAATTAATCCTAAAATTTAAAATATGGTTAAATACATTGTTAGTCTCTAAAACATATATTTTGTGTAATTTTAATTCCTAATATTTAAATTGTGTCAATTTAGTTCCAACGTATCCAATTTGTATTTAAATAGTCTTTAGTGTTGTTTTCTTCCAGATTTTGCGATGCAAGTAGGAATATTTTGATAAAATTTGGACAAAAATAGTATTGGTACCATTTAAACAGTATGCATAATTTGTGTATAGACATTGTATTTCAGATTAGGATTATCTGCAATGGTAATACAACTGACTATGTTTAAAATTGAAATAAAACGATTTCATTTTACAAAGTGATTTAAATATCATTTTACTTTAATTTTAATTTGAACTGTTAAATTATATACTTTATTGATATGGCTTGATGTGATAAAAAAATATGGTGCTCACACTACAGGAAAAAACAGCTATAACAGCGTTCATACAACGGCATTTTAAAAACGCCACTTTTTACTCCACATAACACTTCGGTGCTTCACTTCAAAAAAAAGAAAAAGAAAAAGAAAAAGATCACCATTATCGCTCAGACCTCACTCCGTGATCTCTCCACACACTCACACTCAGATCTCAATCTCTCACACATCGCTCTTCTCTCTAGCGATCGAACTCTCTTGAGGCTTTCCTCTTTATTGATCTTGTCAATCGCGATTGATACCATTTGTATTTGTAGATGTTTTTCATCAATTGCCTCGGTCTCTGTTCTTCATTTCTGTTCTTCATCGATCTCGAGGCTAATCGAACTCGAACTCAATCTCTCTCTCTCTCGCTATTAGCTCCCATCTTGAGGTTGCAAATCGCAAATCCGAAATCGATCTCATAGTAAGTGTTAATCGGTGTTCGAGTTTGAATCTCTACTTTCTCATTGTCAAATTAGATCTCCTGATTAACTCTATATTTTTTTCATTCTCAAATCTGATCAAATCGTTATCATTCTTGAACTAGATCGATCTATCTTTGTCTTTATCTCAGGTACATTTTTCAGAAAATTTAATAAAATTCATGTATTGTTGCTTCTCTTGGTGCTTTCGTACGAAGTATGAGGTTACATAATTTGATTCCTTTTATAGAAATTTGAGATTCATTCATAGTCTGTCCACTGCTATGACCGTAGTTAAAAATAAAATAATCTAGCAAATAACTAGTTTGATCATCAAGCATAGCTAGGTCTCTGTACAATGGTTAATCTCAAGGATATCAGTGGACATTTTAATCTTATATTTGTAAGGTGTGTGAGCCAAAGGTTGTTAAGATGCACTGCTAGTTTTATTCCTTTTTTTCCCCTTTAGTTTTCTGTTTGTAGAAATTATTGTTAATAATAATAAAGATTGAAAACTTATGTGAACGAGGATGAGGATGAGGATGAGAATGAGGATGAAGCTAGCCACGATTATTATAACTATTGTTAATAACAAAGATTGAAAAATCTGTAATATTACAATAAATTGTCATTGTTATTCATGAGACTTTCAAATTACTACAACTACTACTACTACTAGTAGTAGTAGACCACTGTGGACCATCCTAGAAAAAACAAACAAAACAACAACTAGAATTAGTAATTCTCCATTAAAATCAGAGCATTGCAGGCAAGCAGAGAGGCTGACTAGCCTTTTAGGTTACTAAATATATGTATAGATAAGGTCTCCATCTTCATGAATGTGTTACACTACTAGTCTAATTATTTAGGCCCACTACACTCATCTTCATCAATGTGAAAGTTCAAAAAGGAGTCAAACAACTCAACAAGCACGAAATCATCCAATCACAGATTCTTATTGCCTTTGTAGTATAACTTCATTCGTACGCCCTGTTGATGATATATCACCTAGAATGTTCTCTAGGGGTTTGATCTAGACTGGAGTCTGTTATGTGATTAAAATATCTTATTTGTGTCAGGCAATTCAGATGTTCTGATGAGCTTTTCACAGTTCACAAGTAAATTTATCCAAAAAATGTTGAGGACTTAGTTATAGACTCGGTAGGTACTAATACTATTTCATGTGATATTGAATTACTGGATCCTCTTCGCCTGTTAACTGGTGGTGACTCTGAAATTCAAATTGTTAGGTCCACCTCTGAATTGTGTTCTTGAGCTCCTTCTGGTATATCATTAAGAATCAATGTGCAAGTTTCTCTAATGGCAGTGGGGCTGTGTCTCATTTTGGTGCACCATTAGTTTTGAACCCTTATGTACACTTATTGCCTCTTTTACAGTTCATTCGCTTCAATCAAGTTCATTTTCTCTGTGCTGCAAGTTAACTGTTCTAATATTTTAATCTTCAAAGGTTTCAAATTTCTATTTTAGAGTTCCATTGCTATATTCTCCCTCTCAAAATAATAATAATAATAAATAAATAAATCGTATAATGAACCTTGACTGCAAAGATGTTTGCTATGCATTATGCCCGAGTAAAAAAGTTGTGAAACATTCTTTTAAATACAAGCTTTGGATCAGTTTAAGAAAATCCTTCTGTTTTTTTCTTGTTGACTAGTTTCTTTAACTGGCTTTGTTGTTTCGGTTTCAGTTTACTTGTCCCATCCCATTTGATGTCCTCTAAAATATTAAATTACACTAAAAATGAGGATTTTACTTTTTCATTTGTGCAGGGCCAAGATGCCTATAGCATTTTAGTGTTACCTGATTGTAGGCACCACTAATTTGCAATGTGAATCACAATTACTTTTCTTAGGCCACTCAGAAGTCCCCAACTCAACTGATGGCCAGATGTGCTTGGATGCTGAATTGAATAGCAAAAACTACGTCAATCTAGACATAGAAAATGCGAATCCTTATCCCCCATGCCTTGTGGATATGGACATTGAGAAGGGAAATTCAGAGACACCTAAAACCAATGATGAAGATGTGGAAAAATTGAAGATTACGGGTCCGTTAACTGTAAGTTCCATTTGTATATGCATACATACATATACATTCTACATATGATCTCCTTATTTTAAAGTCAAAAACTTTTCAATTAGGTTGACAATGTGGTGTGATAGCAATTGATTTATAATCAATTGGCTATACATACTGCCAGCATCCTTTGTCTCTAATTTTGCTATAGTAGTCAATTGAAATATGATTTTTTTTAAACATCATGATTAAATAGCATTTGCAGAAGGCATGGTAGAGACTGATTAGCTTACAAATAGGGGAGAAGTTCATGCAGCTTTTAATGAAAGATAGCCTTGTGTCACCCAAATTCCCTTCTAGAGGTATATAGCATCCTCACTGCCTCTTTCCTGGTGAGCTATTATTTTGTGTAAAACTCTGAAATTTATTTGTTTCTACATGGTCAATCCACAAATGTTATCCATATCTCCCCCAGTATTTACTGCATTCAAGTATTGGCCTGAACTTTCTCATCAAAATATTGTGCTAAAGAGCAAGCTGCAATGGAGCACTTTTGCCAGTAAAAATGTGTACTATAGCAGGCTAAAGGATGGATGTTTCAATTTTCAAGTGTATTTCCTCTTAATGGCTGAACATGTTACATATTTTGACAGAAATTGAAATAAAATTATAAATACAACACACACACACACACACACACACACACACAAACAAATAAATAAATAAAATAATAAAATTTGTGAAAAATTAAAATGAGAAACAAATCCTCTTATTAATTTGCTCACTAGATATATGCTCTCCGTGCACCAAACATCTCTAAAGGGTGGGCCGTCACTTAACAGTAAGGTTGCTTCATTTTGACCCGAGCATCATGGATTCGAAACATGGAAACAATCTCACTGCATGCACTGGGTACATTTGACCCTTCTCATATCTCGTAATGGCAGGAGCCTTGTGCACTTGGCTATCACCAACTGTGTTTCATGGACTCAAGTACAAGTGTCGAGTGGAGGTGCATATGCAAAGGTCGGGTACACAGACTAGGAAAAAAATAATCATATTTTTATATTTTTAATCTATTATGTGAGATATGGACAGAGCAACTGGCTCAGTAATCCATGTAGCAATCTCTTGGGACCATGAGAAGGTCAAAGAAAGGAAAGAAGAAGAAGTAGATATGACAAACTTAATGAAAGAAGGTCGCTAGAGTCTACTGAATTCAAGGTTAGAACCATTCCTAATTTTCGTTTATTTGTGAATTTTATTTTATTAATGAAGTTGAATTTTTTTAAGCCTTAATTCCAATTACTTGGGGTTGACTACACCCTCCTTGCATCAATAACTTTTTACTCAGCTCTAGGTAGAGCTAATGTGTTTTGAGTTTTGACTGGATAAAAGCTTTGTAATGTTCTAGATCAAATAAATCTATGCCCAGCCCCATGTAGAAGTCTTGTGGTGGTTTTGTTCAAACTAGTTCAAGATTTGTCTACGTGCAATTTATTGGGTTTTTAACAAATTCTTAAAAGTCCATTATACTTTTGCTAGGGGGATTTAAGACACTACCCTTCATGTGTTGATATGGTTGTTTACTGGTTCCAACTTCTTTCACTTTTAACAAATTCTCAACTAGAATTCAAATACTTTATGCATGATTGTATGTATGCAGTATTTGTTACAATTATTTTTCCTTAGTTTGAAACTCAGATGTGCTTTATATATTTAAATTGTTTTTCTTGTCATTGGATTCTAATTATTTTATTCAAACATGTAATGTGTTTCATGTGTTTGAGCGATAGGCACCTGTGTTTTCCAAGTCTCTGAAGTGTATTTGAATCTAGACTTTTTTTTTTCTTTTTTTTTTTTAAATAATACAATATGGTTGATGTGTGTCCAACAGGTTTTGAGAAGTGCCCGATGAGTGTTGTGTTGGTGTTTGACACGACACGACACGACACCTTAAAAGTGTTCGTGTATCATAGGTGTCAACTGTTAATGCTATTCAACTTACTCAACTAGAAATCAAGGGTATGTTTGGTTTGCATTTGGGAGATGAGTTTTAGAAAAAAATTTCTAAAAAATTGTTTGGTTTGAGTTTTTCTCAAAAAAATTTCAAAATCACTCTCTCTCTTACGCATCAATCAATCACTTTTTCTCTCACCTCTCTCTTTCTCAATCACTTTTTCTCTCACACATATCTACTCAAATGTAAAATAATTGATGTATATTATTGATTGATATATTTGTTGTGTATATTACAAATGGTGGGTGGCTCATTATATAGGAGAGGGTGAGTGTAGTAGGTGAGGAGTAGGTGAGGAGTAGGTGGTGGTAGGTGATGGTAAATTGGTGGTAGGTGATGGTAAATTTTAACAGCCTCCCGCAAACTCAAGGAGGATAGAAACTAACCAACTTGAGTTTGGAGAGAGTAACAAAACAAGAAAATACATAAAAATAAAAGAGGATAAGAGACATTGTATGGTCGTGTCAGACCATTGGTGAAGACACTGGATGGTGGTGTCATAACGTTGTAGAGGACACTGTATGGGGGTGTCATAACCATGTAGAGGACACTGTATGGTGGTGTCATAACGGTGTAGAGGACACTGGATGGCGGTGTCAGACCGATGTAGAAGACAGTTTATGGGGTCATGTCGGACCATTGTAGAAGACAATGTTGTGACAGTTGTTGTGACAGTTTACAGAGTCTTGCTGGACCCTTGTAGAAACTAACCGGAATCAATGTCGGGACAGTTTACAAAGTCTTGTCGGACCCATGAAGGAGCTAACCGAGGCTTTACTAGGGACAGTTTATGCCGCTTCGTCAGGGTCTTTATAAATCGAAGCGGAGGCTGAGGCTGAGGCTGAGGCAAAAAAACCTGCGAGAGATATTCTGAGAGAGATTTCTGAGAGAGATACTCTGTAACACTCTGTTGTCTGAGAGAGATTTCTGAGAGAGATACTCTGTAACACTCTGTTGTCTGAGAGAGATTTCTGAGAGAGATACTCTGTAACACTCTGTTGTCTGAGAGAGATTTCTGAGAGAGATACTCTGTAACACTCTGTTGTCTGAGAGAGATTTCTGAGAGAGATACTCTGTAACACTCTGTTGTCTGAGAGAGATTTCTGAGAGAGATACTCTGTAACACTCTGTTGTCTGAGAGAGATTTCTGAGAGAGATACTCTGTAACACTCTGTTGTCTGAGAGAGATTTCTGAGAGAGATACTCTGTAACACTCTGTTGTCTGAGAGAGATTTCTGAGAGAGATACTCTGTAACACTCTGTTGTCTGAGAGAGATTTCTGAGAGAGATACTCTGTAACACTCTGTTGTCTGAGAGAGATTTCTGAGAGAGATACTCTGTAACACTCTGTTGTCTGAGAGAGATTTCTGAGAGAGATACTCTGTAACACTCTGTTGTCTGAGAGAGATTTCTGAGAGAGATACTCTGTAACACTCTGTTGTCTGAGAGAGATTTCTGAGAGAGATACTCTGTAACACTCTGTTGTCTGAGAGAGATTTCTGAGAGAGATACTCTGTAACACTCTGTTGTCTGAGAGAGATTTCTGAGAGAGATACTCTGTAACACTCTGTTGTCTGAGAGAGATTTCTGAGAGAGATACTCTGTAACACTCTGTTGTCTGAGAGAGATTTCTGAGAGAGATACTCTGTAACACTCTGTTGTCTGAGAGAGATTTCTGAGAGAGATACTCTGTAACACTCTGTTGTCTGAGAGAGATTTCTGAGAGAGATACTCTGTAACACTCTGTTGTCTGAGAGAGATTTCTGAGAGAGATACTCTGTAACACTCTGTTGTCTGAGAGAGATTTCTGAGAGAGATACTCTGTAACACTAGTGGAGTGGGAAACACGGAGGCAGCACTGTCAAGGGCCGCCCAGGACGGAGGCAAGAAGAAGAGACCGGCGGCAGAGTAGAGAAGAAAAATCCCACCTGTGAATGTGGTTGTTTGTTTGTATTTTGTTTTTTTTTTGTTTTTTGTTTTTTTTGTTTTTCGTTTTTTGTTTTTTTTTGTTGTATGTGGAAACATGGTGATCGGGGTGAGCCCCGACATGAATAAAATGAGTTTGGTGTGCAGATCTTCCTGCGTCTTTTGTTTTGTTTGTTTGTTTGTTTTTTTTTTTGGTGTGTTTGTTGTTTTGTTCTTCAACACCCCAACCCCGAGAGAGTGGGAGACAGCTTCCTCTAGAAGAGAGAGAGTTGGATTTATCAGTGTTTTGAGGTCAATGTGGTGGTGGTGGGAACGTGGGGTTGGTTGAAGAAAAAAAATAAATAAATAAATAAATAAAAAATAAAAGGTGTCTCTTTATGCAGCAGGTGCGTGTCGGCTATTGAAGGAAAATATTAAAAGAAAAAGAAAGGAAAAGAGAGGGGGTAAAGGGAGAGAGAGAGTGACAGTGGGTTTGTTCTCACCAAAAAACAGAAATATTGAGAGAGAGAGATAGCTGTTAACCGAGAGTCAGAGAGAGAGAGAGCTGTTGGTCTCCAGCATCGAATCCATGCTAGATTTCCTCAGAAAAAATGGCTTCTTCGATATATATTGAAGTCGATCTACAATGATCTGCTGTCGCCATCTCCAGATCTACAACGATTCGTCATCGTCGTCTGCAAATCTACATCGGTCCACCGTCATTTCTGTGTGGCGACGCAGGTGAACTGGACGAATCCACTGAGAGAGAGAGAGAGAGAGAGAGAGAGAGAGCTGTGTCGTGCATGGAGATAGAGATCCAGCAGCTTTGAGGCACAGCGGCTGTAGGAGATCTGGTCGTTGGTTCCTCCGACTGGCTTCCGGTGACTGGCCTTGTGACCGCCGAGGGCGTGGTAGGAGCCGAAGGCCTTGTCGCATACGCTACACGTGTAGACGGGCTTGGAATCGGACGAAGTCGATGGCTGCGGCGGCGGAGGAGGGGTGGAGTGGCTGCGATGTGAGGCGGTGCCGCCACGAGCGAGCATGATGAGGCAGAGAGCGAGGTAAACGGACGCTTCAGCTCTGTTTTTTTTTTTTTTTTTTTTTTTTTAAGTTGAGAAGCTTGAAACAGCTGAGAGAGATGAACAACACACAGACGTTTAGAGAGAGAGAGAGGAGTATGGAAAGGTTCAGGAAAGTGAAGGTATGTGTAGGAGGTTTCAATTGGTTGAGGTCCGGCGGGCGGTTAAGGCAAGGTTGCCGCCTGCCAGAAGGCGAAGAGCACCAAGAGCTTAACCTATAGCTCTGATACCATGTAAAATAATTGATGTATATTATTGATTGATATATTTGTTGTGTATATTACAAATGGTGGGTGGCTCATTATATAGGAGAGGGTGAGTGTAGTAGGTGAGGAGTAGGTGGTGGTAGGTGATGGTAAATTGGTGGTAGGTGATGGTAAATTTTAACATCAAATTCTCCCAAAATATCAAATCATCCCAAACTCCCAAAAAAACAACTCTCCCAAAATATACAACCAAACAAACCAAAAAAATTTCTAAACTCTCTCCCCAAATTTTTTTTCAAAAACAACTCTCCCAAAAACAAACCAAACAAGCCCCAAATACTTTATGCATGATTGTATTTATGTCGCCTTTGTTACAGTTATTTTTCCTTAGTTTGAAACTCAAATGTGCTTGTTTCTTAGTTTTGTCACTGCAGTTGATTTTACCATCAACAAAAAGAGGGGATTGTGGGTTAACACTAGAGGTAGAATCTACTTTTACAGTTTATTTTGCACAACCTGAAGCTCTTGTGGACGGACATAATTTGTGCATCTAAATTTGATCTATTTTGATGATGACAATGGCTTTTCAGGTGGAGACAGGAATTTTATGGCTACTGGTAGACACAAAAAGGTAAGCATTTGAGGAATGGTTTTTTTGTTCTTATAATTAACTAGGAATCATGCCACCTTTTAATAAAAGGGAAGATATTAAATCAGTGGTAAACAGGTAAAATATTATCATGTCAGTGGGACACTTTTTTGGAATTTCAGAAAATATGAGATGGTTTGATATTTTAGGAAATAGAATATAGGTGAAAATAATAGCAAAAGACACAAATCTTTTGAGTGTTCTAGCATTCTGGTCAGTGCTTTTTTGGATATATTCCATGTCTAATCTAGTTGATGATGGTTGATTGTTTCAAGCATGTGAGCTGCGCGAGAAGTTTGACGCCAACAAGCACGTGGACTGAAGAGTACATATTTTTTGTGTAGTAAAAATCTCATGGAATGTGCAATTAATTTGGTTCATATGGATGAGTTGAGTACTTTTATGCACTTTTCCCCATCTCCGTATAATGTTTTATGATGTATTGATTACAATATATTGGATATATAAAAATTGTGATTAGCTTGATGCATGGTTGGCGCATGGATAAGTAAATTTGAGCCATTTGTGTTCATTGTTAAATTCCCAAGCTACCTTCTTTGGTTAAATTGTTTGGCTCATGCTCTATTTCAGAATCCGGAGAGGGGGGGAAAAAATCATTGGCTTATGCTATATTCAAAATAAGAGAGGGGAAAAAAATTTAATTGGGTTAGGCAATATTTTAGGAAAACACACACACCCACCCCTCCCCCAAAAAAAAGAAGAAAAAAAAAAAGGTGGCACAAAAAATGCCACCAAATGATGTCATTATGACGTCGCACATCAATTTGTAAAAAAACAAAAAAACAAAAAAACAAAAAAAATAAAGAAGAAAAGAACGCCATCAAATGACGTCATTATGACGTCACACATCAGTTTGTGAAAAAAGAAAAAAGAAAAAAGAAAAAATGAAAAGGTGGCGTTTTTTTGAAAAACACTACCAAATGACGTCATTATGACGTCACACATTAGTTTGTAACGGAAATTGAAGTGGACGTCAAAGATTTTGCAAATTTCGTCTAATATTTTTATCGACGTTTTTCAAATGTTGTAAAGCTATTGTGGCGGCCGTATTAGCGACGAAAATATTAAACGCCAGTTTAACGGCATTTTTCAGGCTTTAAAAACACTGCTAAAACTCAAATTTTTGGCAGTGTTAGCTCATAAATCCAAATTTGATTCTTGTTTGTCCAAAAGTCCAGCGGTAAACTATTATGCCCATAAGGACATGCTTGTGAGAAATGAACAAACTACCCATTCTTCAAATTTTTTGTTTTTTCTGTCCCAATTAAGGCCTTATTTGGCATGATCTAAAAAAGTTAAAAAGTCAAAAAGTCACTATCCTATTTAAGCCACATCATCTTATTTAAGTCACATCACATCTCTAACACATTACTTCAAAACCCAACCCATACCCATACCCATACCCAACTCATATTTCATAAAAAGTCAAAAAGTACACTTATTTAGATCATTCCAAACCACTCCTAAATCTAACTAAACGAACAACATAGAGCCAAAAGCTCTCTCTCTTCTCTTTCTCTATCTATCTATCTCTCTTTACAAACCCACTTCTCCTTTCTCTCTCTATTTGTCTCTCTTTTCTCTCTCACTCCCTCTCATCTCTCTCTCTCTCTCTCTCTCTCTCTCTCTGCTTTATATACAAATACATATGCAAACATTTGTGTTGGGTGGTGTCCTTTCTTAATTGGGTGCACCACACCATGACTACGGGTGCAAATTTGGCCTGGGCCGACCCATGTCGTGCCTCACGGGCTCCCGCCAAAATATGGGTCGTGCTGGGCCGGCCCACGAGTTAGAAAATTAGGCCCAGGCCTAGGGGTTATTCGGACCGGTGGGCCTAACCTCGGGGTTGGGCCAGGCCTAAACATTTTTTTTTATTTTTTACTATTTTTTCCACCAAAATTTTATTTTTTTCCACAAAAAGTGACACTAGACCTCGTGCAGGCCAAGCGAGTCGGGCTTTGAGTTGGCCTTGAGCAAGCCGATGGGCATGGCCACAGGCCGGCTCCTGGAGCAATGAATAATTTCTCCTATTTACCAACGGAATGAAAATCAAAATGAAGGTACACAGACAATTCAATCAATTAAAAATATAATAAGTTAACTACAATGGCTACAGAAATAATCCCAACCCCAAACCTAATTTTTCAATTGAAACCCATGACGCCATGAATCACATATTATATTCAAATTGTAAATAGGCAAGAGACGAGATAAAATATAGAAGAGAACAAGAAGTAAGACAGTGAACAATTTTAAAAGAATCCATTATCATGGTGAAGATATAATCTATCAAATTTTACCAAATAATTCCACCCAATATATCTTATAATCAAGTTGTGCTAGATATAGTTTGATTCATGAAATTGGCTATTTATCGAGTAATAGGGTTTTAGGGATTTCAAGCCATACCTTTTCAATGAGAACTCTTTCGAACCAATAAGCTACCAGACAAGATAGAGATCTTCAAGAAGCCTTCGAAAGCAAGAGACGAAAGTAAGAGATGATAAAGAGCAAAACGGACAGAGAGAGAGAGAGAGAGAGGAGAAACCATAGATTCAAAGCAAAGAAGAGAAAATTTCAGAGTTTTTAGAGTGCTACCTCATCAATCTCTGCACAGCCTATGACTCCGATCTTTACGAATGGTAATAGGGAAGACGACCAGAGAAGAGAGAGAGAGGGGTGTCCTATTTAGCCAAACCAGAAACAAAAGAACGAGAGAGAGAGAGAGAGCAAAACGGACAGAGAGAGAGAGAGGAGAAACCATAGATTCAAAGCAAAGAAGAGAAAATTTCAGATTTTTTAGAGTGCTACCTCATCAATCTTTGCACAGCCTATGACTCCGAGCAAGGATCCTCTAGAGTGATTTTTTCCTAAAGTTTCCTAAAGTGCTACATTGTATGGTTGAGATTTACTGGCAAGTCACATCAATTTTTCTGATGTGACTTGCCAGTAAATCTCAACCACACAATATAGCACTCTAGGAAACTTTAGAAAAATATCACTCTAGAGGATCCTTGGTGTATGACTCCGATCTTTACGAATGGAAATAGGGAAGACGACCAGAGAAGAGAGAGAGAGGGGTGTCCTATTTAGCCAAACCAGAAACAAAAGAACGAGAGAGAGAGAGAGATAGAGAGAGAGAGAGACGTGATTGATGAGGTAGAGAGAATGGAGGAAAAGCTTCAATCGGTTATTAAAAGGTCTATATTAATTCAAAATTAACTTGCATATATTATATGCAACTTTCAACCATTGCACACTGCAACACGACCCATATATTTTGGGTGACTGGTGCTAGAGCATTTTCGCACTTCTTTTTTTTATCATATTTTTTTTATCATATCATTTACGACATAAATTATATGTTATAAAAAATAAAAAAACGTTCAACGGTTGATATATGTATATTGTGTATAATTGATGTATTACCAGCATGGTATATATATGTCATGAAAAATTTTATTATTTACGGTTAACATTACAAGTCGTAAAAAAATCACTATTATTCAGTGTATTTGATTTCAATTTTCTAAAAGTTGAGTTTTTTGTTTTTTGTTTTTTGTTTTTTTAATAAATATTTTTAAAATTTTAAACAATCTTTTTATTTTTTTAGATGCACCTTACTTAGATGTATCTAAAAAGTAAAATATTTATGAAAAAATATTTTAAAAAATTAATAAATACAAAAAAAATATGAAAAATGTAGTAAATTTTCTTCTTTTTTTTGTGTATTTTTAGTATTTAATGAATTTTTTATAGATTTTTTTTACAAATATTATACTTTTTAAGTATATTTATGTTAGATGTGTCTAAAAATTAAAAAAAAAGATGCTTAAAATACTAAAAAAATCATGAAAACAAAAAAAAAAAGATATGGAAAACAAAAAAAAAAAAGAATTTTCTTAAAGGTAAATTTTGGAAATCAAAACCAAACAGAGTAATTAGCATTAACGGCCTAAGCAATAGGCATGCCGTGATTAGGATATTATTTAAGACATGAAAAAAAAAAAAAAACAATCGTGAAAGTAAAAAATTACAACTTGCATTTATTGTATGGCATTGATGTGATGCTGTGAAAACCTAGTTTTGTTGTAGTGAAGAGTACAATGATAACTATGACCTTGCTGTTATCATGGATGACGAAGGAGTATAAAATCTAAACAATGTTATGGACTAACAAAACCATGGGCGGATTCACAAATCATGAATAAATTTAGGGGTGTACACGGTCCGGATTGGTTCGGTTCTGAGAAAATTCAAGAACCGAACCGATCCTAACGGTTCTGTGATTTTGAGAACCAGACCAGACCGTTACACTTGTAAAACCGGACCAGAACCAAACCGAAAAAACGGTTCGGTTTCGGTTTGGTTTACGGTTCTAAAAATTTCTATTTACAAGAATAAATTGTTAATATTAGCAAAATAATTACCCAAACTAATTACATTTAACTCATGATAAAAACTAATAATATTAAGGCATTACTTAATACTACATATCTATACTATCATAATATTATTAAAATTATAAAAAACCAATTAATAAAAAATAAAACTTGATATTATATATACATCTTTTAAAATTCGATTCGGTTCGGTTCGAACCACGGTTTTTTCATAAAATCCATTAACCGAACCGTTTTTATGGTTCTCACATTTCTTAATCTGAAACCGAACCAATTCTTAATAGAACCGAACCAAACCGTATGATTCGGTCTGGTTCGGTCCGGATTACCGGTTTGAACGGATTTTTAAACAGCCCTAAATAAATTGGCAGAACTATCGGTTGAGGGAAACACATCACGAGCTTGTCTATCGTTAAAAAATAAAACATAGACTCACTGGTTTTCAGTTACATTTTGGTAACACTTACGTTTTCAATTTTGGTAACACTAGTTTTGGTAACACTTACGTTTTCAATTTATATTTACAAAAATTTTGTAAACTGGTTTTTGTTTATATTTAGAAAAACATAAACTACAAACGCGTTTGGTTTGAACAAAATGTTTGAAAATTTTAAAAAATATAAACTAAAAGAGTGAGAAGTGGTGAGTGGTGGCGGCAGAAGACGGTGGTGGTGGGTGGGGGGGCGACGGAAGGCGGTAGTGGTGGGTGGTGGCGAGTGGTGGTGGTGGAAGACGATGATGACGGGTGGCGGGTGATGGGTGATAGCGGCAGGTGGTGAGTGGTGGCGGTGGAAGATGGTGGTGGAAAGTGGTGGCAGGTGACGGGTGGTGAGTGGTGTTGGCGGAAGACGGTGGTGGAATGTGATGGCAAGTGGTGGCAGGTGACGGGTGGTGGCGGCAGAAGATGGTGGTGGAAAGTGGTGGTGGGTGGTGGAAGACGGTGGTGGAAAGTGGTGGCAGGTGGCGGGTGATGGCTGCGGAAGATGGTGGTGGTGGAAAGTGGTGGCGGCGGAAGACGGTGATGGAAATTGGTGACAGGTGGTGGGTGGCGGCGGTGAAAGATGGTGGTGGAAAGTGGTGGCAGGTGGTGGCGGCGGCGAAAGATGGTGGTGAAAAATGATGGTGGGTGGTAGTGGCGGAAGATGGTGGTGGCGGCGGAAGATGGTGGTGGAAAGTGGTGGCGGAAAGTGGTAGCGGGTGGTGGCGGCGGAAAACGGTGGGGGAAAGTGGGGGCAGGTGGTAGTGGCGGGAGATGATGGTGGTGGGAGGTGGTGGTGGGTGGTGGTGGCAGAAGATGGTGGCGGCGGGTGGTGGGTGGCGGCGGCAGAAGACGGTGGTGGTGGGTGGTGGTGGCGGAAGACGGGGGTGGAAAATGGTGGCGGGTGGTGGGTGGTCAAAAAAAAAAAAAAACTGAAAACGTAAACTCATTTTTTGAGTTTACAATTTTTGGCCAAATTTATAAACTGAGACCACTAGTTTATAAACTAAAAAATTTACCAAACAAGTTTTTATGACGGCTTTTTAAATTTTTGTAAATTTAAACTGAAAGCTGAAAACGTAAGTGTTACCAAACGCCACCTATGTGAAACATTTTACTGTTATAGGCAATATTGAAATTGAATCCAGATTTGAAGTCAAATGGGCCTATATAAAGGTTTCAGTTGTAACAAAAGGGACACGATTGCCCAGAGTGTTTTTGAAGTTGAAAAAGAATTCTGGATCTTAAGTTTTCTTAGAGTAAAGAATATTCTAACAATTTAACAATATGTAGATGTGGGAGCCAAATAAACAGAAGAGTCGGAAGGTGCGTAACCCAGAAATCAGATATTATTCGGCTCCATACTGCGTGACTAGGAAGCTGAATACGTTAGGAAGGCCGAATAGCCGGAGATCAGTAGCTCCGAGTAAATAAAAAAGGAAATGAGATAAAAGTAAGCTCAGGCCCCGAGGCCCAAAAAGCAAGTATAAATACAAGAACCACAGATTTAGAAAGGTATGTAAGAATCACTTCACTTAACTTAGTAAAGAAGCTATCCTGAGTGTCTGAACTGACTTGTCCGTCGGAGTGCTAATTCCGGCACCCCCGACCGGAGTGTTTGTATCTTTTCAAGTGACTAGCTGAGGATCACTAGCATGTCCCAGGATCTGAAGAGTATTTCCAAACCACTTCTCCACAATTGGCGCCGTCTGTGGGAATACTCAAATACATCCATGGCAGGCGTGACTGAAGATCCTCTGATAACCACTGACGAGACCACACAGAGAGATGACCTTACTCCAGCAAACTCGTTTGGACTAAAAACCATCGCAGCAAGACTTGCCTTGGACCTCTGCTCATCTTCAAACCCAATGCAAAAGACAATACAAGCGACCATGGTATAAGTTAGGAAAACCAAACAGAGGTTGGACAATATCATCGCTGAGAACGAACGCCTTCGTCGCGATCTGGCCTCGGAAATAGCAAAATCCAAACAAACAGTGCGCCAGGCTTCTGAGCGACCCCCGAGGGCAGATGATCGACGATCTCGAGCCCGACAGCAAGAAACTGACGGCCGCTATGCCTCAATAGATCATCTTGAGGAGTTGGCAAAGGACGAACGTCTCCAACAATGCGTCCGGAGGAGTGCGATCAAAACACCTACCCTTCCGAATGATGCATTTCCGCTTGACACTGTAGAGAGATGACCTCACTCCAGCAAACTCGTTTGGACTAAAAACCATCGCAGCAAGACTTGCCTTGGACCTCTGCTCATCTTCAAACCCAACGCAAAAGACAATACAAGCGACCATGGTATAAGTTAGGAAAACCAAACAGAGGTTGGACAATATCATCGCTGAGAACGAACGCATTCGTCGCGATTTGGCCTCGGAAATAGCAAAATCCAAACAAACAGTGCGCCAGGCTTCTGAGCGACCCCCGAGGGCAGATGATCGACGATCTCGAGCTCGACAACAAGAAACTGACGGCCGCTGTGCCTCAACAAATCATCTTGAGGAGTTGGCAAAGGACGAACGTCTCCAACAATGCGTCCGGAGGAGTGCGATCAAAACACCTGCCCTTCCGAAGGATGCATCTCCGCTTGACACCGTCTACATGATATACAGCCTGCCAGCAACCCCGGCCGTGCATGCGATCCAATCACATCCAGGCCCCCAATAGCAACTCACGCCAGCAAAGCGGCTCTAAGAAACGCCAAGTATCACCTTTGACGACACTGATTTGATCGGCTTAACACTCCCTCACGACGATCCATTGGTTGTTGAGCTACGCGTAAACCGGTTCACCGTCGAACGCGTTCTTATTGACCAGGGCAGTACTTCGGAGGTAATGTATTATAAAACCTTCATCAATCTCGGATTCAACGA